CTTCTTAATTCAAAGGAAGATCTATAATCTACTTTTGTAAGGCAAACAATTTAAACAGTGATTACCCATTATTGGGAACAGAAGTCATGGAGGCCGGCCCAGTGGCATAGCGGTTAAGTGCACGCCCTCCGCTTTGGCGGCCCGGGGTTCGCAGGTTCGGATCCTGGGCGTGCACTGATGCACTGCTTGTCAAGCCATGCTGTGGCAGCATCCCATGTAAAGTAGAGGAAGATGGGCACAGATGTTAGCCCAGGGCCAATCTTCCTGAGGGGGGGAAAAAAAAAGGAGGACTGGCATCAGATGTTAGCTCAGGGCTAATCTTCCTCACACAAACACAAAAAGTCAGTAGATAAAACCAAATATGTCATAATCTTACACTTTATGGTTCAAATGAGAAAACTAGATATGGTATATTAATGTACCACCAGAAAAATGAAGTCTACAGTCTCCCAACACAGTATACAGACTGGATTTTGCTGCACATCTAGGACTCTGGAAATGGTTCAATTGAGCATCTTACAGTCATTTGGATTCTGATAGATATACTTACCCAAGGAAGCCTATTATATGGCAACAATTAAAAACAGAAAACTTCTCTAAGAATTTATAGGGCCAAAAACGTTCATTTTACATCTTTGCTGATTGATTTGGAAGGACTCTATATAGGACAGTACTGTGACTTTCCTAGCTCTGCCAGTTTAGAGCTAAGTTCTACACCAACAGTTCTACAACAGAACAGTTCTACACCAAAGCCAACCACAACCTCCACCTAACCCGTGAATTTGGCTTTAGACTCAGACAAGCTATTCATTGATTATAAAGAGGTGCATCGAAGACTCTTTTCTTTATATCCTGGATTATTCAAGTCAGTTGTCACCCCAGTGAGTGGATTAACTACCGTGGTTACCTTGCACCACAGGCAGATACTCAGGTGGTGTGACCATATCGTCAGTTGCAGAGCCCACAGCACTGAAGGGGTGAAGCAGGGAGGGTTCCATCAACATGTGAGGGTGTCAGAAGGAAAACAAGACAACACTCTAGAGAAGCATTATTTGTTATTTAATAGTGCATTGTTATTTTAAACAAATTGTGTCTGGCTTTAAAATAGAGATGATGAAATGGTGAGTTAGGTTAAAGTCATAAATTATGGATACGGGCTGTAGAAGAAGAGGAAGACTTATTATAGAGGGAGAAATACTTTAATTATAAAACAGTGCTATAAAAAAGCTTTCTTTATAAAAAGGTTCTTCTCTTTCTGGTAGCTTTAAAGCACAGGTCATACCACTGTTCTAGTTCAGAGGTCAGCAAACTTTTTCTATCACACTATTTATTATCAAACAGATTTGGGCTCTGTGGGTCAGACAGTCTCCGTCACAACTACTCAGTGCTCCTGTTGTACCTTGAAAATAGCCACACACAGTATGTAAACGAATGGGCATGGCTGTGTTCCAACTGAAACTTTATTCACAAAAACGAATGGTGGCGACAATTGAAGCAAGGGCCATGGTTTACTAACCCCTCTTCTATCCCAGCACTGTCCAACAGAAACATATGTGTTGGACACATATGTGTCAGCCACATATGTAATTTAAAATGTTCTAGTAGCAACATAAAAACAAGTGAAATTAATTTTAATATATTTTATTTAACTCCAACTATCCAAAATATCATTTCATGATGTACTCAATATAAAAAACTATTTACATTTTTTTTTGTATTAAGTCTTTGAAACTGCGTCTTGTCCAACTTATTGCATACTAGTCATATTTCAAGTGCTCAGTAGCCACGTGTGGCTAGTGGCTACCAAACTGCATGCTATGTTCTGGATCTTCCATGCTGGGATTTCTACAACTAATCTGGACTTTGGTGACACACTGTTGGGATTTGGTTCTTGAAATGGGGATAGAATTATGTTGCCCCTGGGGAGACAGGACAAGGAATTACAGCTACTGGCAAGAAATGTTTGCCCTCAAACACTAAGCTGAGGTGGCCCAGGATTCTGGGGCACAAATGGGTACCCAGGCAAACGATTAAGTCAGATGATGTTAGCTTCACTTCCCAGTGCAACAATCTAGTGCAAAAAATATTTGATATAGACCCCAAAATGATCAAGGTGTGAACACATTATTGTAATCTTTGGCCTTCAATAAAGACAGTCATTAACAGAGCTAGTCTTTAGCACTTGGACTATACCAGAATTTAAAGCATATAAAGATGTGATTTGGAAGATAAAATGAAGAACTGTCTAGCAAGGAAAAAAGCTTTAAAATTAGACTGAATTTTTAAAACCGTTAAAACAACGTAAATGCTTTTTCAAGGATCTTTGTGTACCACAGTTTAGTGCTAGTCAGCAACCGTTAAACACTTTACCAAAGGGTAATCATAAGCCTTTGTTTAGCCCTTGGGAACTTTTTCATAATTTAAACCCAACTTGCTAAGTGATCAAATCAACATTTCCAAGATAAGACTGGATATAACCTTTTGTTAATAAAACTTAGAGGCAAGTGTTTTTAACAAAAAATTTATTACCAAAATACAATATTAAAGTCAATACATGACAAACTCCTGTAAAGCAAAATAAATTATTCTAACATTGTACAGTATTTGCAAAGGTAGTTAGAGAAGCGCTATAGACCTTGCTTCACTGTTTGTGGAACAGAGAAACTGTTCTACCATGAACACAATCCTAGAGTTTCAGGCTTTAAGGCATGCAGCTTGATGTGCAGGATAATTTTACAAAATGCAAATCATCCTATTTTAATAAGATACAGTGTCAGAATTAACTGTAGTCTTTACATGTCAGTGTTCCAGAAATTTTTAGACTTTGGCTATAGAAGCAATGCCATAGTGTTACACAATACTTATTTCTTAAAAAAATACATGTATTCATGTCCATGAATATCAAACTCAAATTTCTATTAAATATATTTTATAGAATATTACTTAGAGCACCTTGCTGTACAATAAAAAAAGATTAAATAAGTGTCTATGAAAACTAAACATATAATAAGTCTCAATAGAGAAGCCTGCTTGTCTTTGTCAAGCCAAGTACATTGCAGGAGGATACGATGTAAACGTTGGGTGCCCACCATTTGCTTTCTGAGAAGAGACAGAGAAAATAATAACAAAGCCACTGACAGCCACCTTGAATAGGATGACAGATCTAGACCAAAGGCTTCAGTCAGTGTCACTACACTGCACTGGCTGAACACAGAAATTAAAGTCTACAGATCAACCGGAATATAGGCATGGTACTGTTAGAACTTTGGGGACACCAACCATATTCTGGATTATTAGAGAAAGAGAGAAAATGATAGAGCCCTGAAAAGTATTATTTATAATGATCAGAATGCATCATCTTCCCCCTCCCCACCTTTGCTTTCCCAGTAAGTTTCTTTTAAAAACTATTTTCACTATCTAATCTTAGAATTTTAAGTGTTCCGAGTGGAAAATAAATACTATGAGCTTTGTATGGCAAAAGATCTAGTACCAGTAAATAAAATGTTATTCCTATAAAGGGAATTCCTGCTGATTATTTTAATACACGTCTCTCTACAATTAAAATTGCTTATTTAATCTTCATTATTACTTTTAGAAATACTCACTTGCTCTCAGTACAGATACTGTTAACTCAAGGCTGGCCACAAAATGATAATGGGAAGAAACATAACATCCTTGGTGTGTGGCTCCTCCTGTGGGCCGGGAGAAAGCTTTTGAGGATACTGTAGGCCAGAATCAGATGAATGTTTGAAGGCTTTGAACTTCTGCGTTAATTTCTTCCCATGAACTAGGGAAAGTTTAAATCCATGATTCCAAATGGAAAATTTAGTAACAATCAACGGAAGCCATTTAAGGAAATGAAAAAAGATAATTTAAAAATTCACTGTTGAAATTTTTGGGATTTTTTTGGTTATTAGTATTTTCCAAATGATTACATAAAATTAAAGCCAAGGAAAATTTATAAAACAAAATTCTTCTAAGGTTTTTAATTTTGAGAATAATAAAAAACACTGAGTCCCAGCTACCAGCAATGAAAGAATTGGCTGAGTGGCAACAATATGAGTGATAATAATGGAACAATTTAAAGTATTTTATTTGAATTTGAATGAAATATAATTGTATTTAATTCTGAAAAGGAAAGGAAAAAATGAATAAAAATCCATATGCAGTGGATTGGGGGAATATAATTTAGTATATGTAAATTCATTTTATCTTTTTAAAAACGACATATCAGAAATGGATTAACTTTCATAAATAAATTAAAGCTACCTAAATTAAAGAGTTACAAAGTTATAATTGTTTGTTTAAATATCATCATCAAAATGAGATTTAAAAAACAAATCAATGTTTTAAGATACCTGGCCCCACTTAAATAGTTCCTAATGCTATTTTAAAAATGTTAATTCATACCTGGACTTCAGGAAGAGAACTCTTTCCTAAAATGTGTCTACAGAGTATCCCATTCAAAAAATTTTGTTTTTGATGTTTTCTAAATTCATCATTCACAGCCTCAGCTCTAGAAGATGTCAAAAATCAAGTTCAGAGAGAGCACCGTGAAGATGGTGCACTGCATGCACTGGCCTTTTGACTTGTAGGCAGAATTTAACAAAACAATGCATAAATAAATGATCAGAACTACAAAAGCACAAACAAAAACCCTATTCTCTTCACTCTTTGAAATACATTATAATACTAAATGTGTAATTAATGAGCAGATTACACCTATTTGATGGCAAATTTTACTTTTAGCTGGTTTTCCATATGCCCTTTTGCACACTAATAAAATGAAATTTCCTAGATAGGAGGAACTCTGTAGACTTACCGAATGTTGTTTGTTATTAAAAGTTTTATAAACAACCTGAATTTTTACTATATTTTAGCCACACTTGGTTATACCTCTTATACTAAGTATAACTAAATTAAACTCCAGGAAGTAAAATCTCAATAGCAGTACTCATTTTAAGGGGCTTCTGAATTTCACCCTTCTTCCCTCAAATGAATTGAGAGTTCAAACTATTCCCCAGGATGATCAAATGCAGATTTTTACACTTTGTTGCTTTAACAGCCTCTTTCAGATAATGACCTTGGTCTAGTGTAGAAGCAAGGATTAGAAGGCCTATGTCACTAGCAAGAAAATTGTGGTATTCCATCACACACCCCTGAAAAGAACCTCTGAGATGTGCACTGGGCTCAGCAAGTTACCAGCTTCATGAGACTTGAGATTTGGTTTGAGTCTGGTGGGAATTCACCTACTTCCTCCTTCGCCCACAAGAAATTGACTGTAAATTTAAGACAGTAATTTACTTCTTAAATGCCTATTTACAATCTTGATTTGGATTTAGAGGTCTCTTTTCTTTCTTTCTATTTTAAGGATTAAAGTAATATATCTGAGATTAAGTATATGATTAATTCCTATCAACTTGGGGAAAGATTTAGGTAGATCATTTTAAAGCCCTCTAGTGATCTTTTCCTTGTTGACTGCTGGTAACAGACAAACCCTCAGAGGGCTGCCTCCCATTTCTCACAAGAGGCTTATCATTCTAGAGTTAGCATGTCAAAACTGAAAACAAAGAAAAGTAAGCTCTGCTTAAGACTGTGACACTTTCATAACGAGTTTTAAAATAGTTCCTGAAAAGCCCTTTCTTCACTCTTCTGCTTGCATTTCTATGCTATAATAAGGTTTTAATAATAAATATACTCAACACTAAGAAGAGGTAACAGAGGCTTAATACAGAATTACATCTTTGCTTCCTCCTCAACCCACTTCCCCTCACTCAAAATATTTAAATATTATTACCGCTTGTCCATTTGGAATTCCTTTTATTACATTACAAATTTGGTTCCAAAGTCACAACTGTCATTTCCTCAAAAATCACATCAACTATTTCTTCTGTGTCTAGTAAGTTTCTGACAGCACAAAGGACTGTGGTTTAAAGGATTCCTCTTCTGCCATTTTCCTCTTCAAGTAATTATTCCATCTAATTTGTATTTAGAGCTGTGCTGTGGTCCTTATTTAGGATGATGTTTACGATTTCACCCTCATGCTCTTTCATATGATCCAAGAGATTTTCTTTGCTGGTAGATTCGAAACCACAAATACAACAACAGAAGAGTAAAACGCAATACTCCATACCGGGCGGGGCCAGACTGGAGTGTTTTTCTAAACTATATGAGGTATTACTTGCAGGGCTCAGTTTCTCATTCTCGTTAGGACCTACGACTTCACTGGGAGATTGGGAAATCAGCTCTGAGGACGACATCAAATTTTCTGAACTTCCAGTGAGAGGATCGGCTCTTTCTTCACTGTTGTTTAACGGAGTCTTTCCAGGGGATTTCCCCAGAACTCTTAAAAACAAAACACAACACACCAAACCTTGAGTTGGTTGTAAGGTATGACTAGTAGGTTTAACCCTAACTTTAATTTATATGTAACAATAAAGGAAGGGGTAGGATCAAATACCTGCCACTTTGTGAAATTGCATCATTAATAGCCTTGTTTACTTGTTCGTAGTTGTAATTTTGGTCACTGGCATGCTTCCACATATGAGACTTCAAAGATGGAGGATGGCTGCATACATACCCACACAGAGAGCATCTGAAAGATAGGTATCAGGGAAATCAGAATGATCCCATAATATCATTTTTAATAATTATAATGACTCTATAACAAGTATTAAATTCCTTCTCCTGAAGTCTTATTAGACATTGTATTTCATTGACTCTAAGATGTCACTGATTATAAGAGACATATCAATTTCAAGAGGCTAAAATGTCCTAGAATGTATATCCTAGAATCAATGAAATAAAGTATTTTACATTATAAAGAATTTATAAGAATCAAGACAAACATTCCATATTACTTTAGCTATTACAATATTTGGAAAGATTTCTAATATAGTAATATAAAAAATCTTTGCTTTAATTATTTAACCACAAAGAAAAATATACAAAATCAATATTCTATACCACTCCATTTCTTAAGAAAGCAAAAAAGAATTAAATAATTTTCAACATAAACTCCGTGCTTATTTACAGATCCACAGAAAATGGAAGCAGTAGTCCTGAAAAGCTTCAACAATTTAGCTTTCATATATAAGACAGATAATAATCTTAAAGTTTCTATTCAAAATACCAATTGTTTCACATAATTGGGTACCTCTGGTAAAATCTGAACTGCATGAAGTACTTTTAAAGAAAATTAAGACTATTTTTTAGAGCACTTTTAGGTTTATCCTGTCTCTCCCCTGCATCTAGTTCCTCCTATTATTAACATCCTGCCTCAGTGTGGAATATTTGTTATAACTGATGAACCAATATTGATACATCATTATTAACTAAAGCCTATGGTTTACATTAGGGTTCACTGTTTGTGTTGTACATGTCTAGGTATTTTAACAAATGCATAATGTCAGGTATCCACCATTACAATATCATACTGAATAATTTCCCAGCCCTAAAAATCCTCTGTGCTCCACCTATTCATCCCTCCCACTCCCTGAATCCCTGGCAACTGCTGATTCTTTTACTGTCTCCATAGTTTTGCCGTTTCCAGAATGTCATATAGTTGGAATCATACAGTATGTGGCCTTTTCAGACTGGTTTCTTTCACTTAGCCATATGCATTTAAGGTTCCTGCATGTCTTTTCATGGCTTGATAGCTCTTATCACTGAATAATATTCCACTGTATGGATGTACCACGGTTTGTTTATCCATTTATCTACTGAAGGACATCTGGTTGCTTCCAAGGTTGTATAGCAAGGTACAAGGTGGATATACAAAAGTCAGTCGCTTTCCTATATTCCAGCAATGAACAAGTGGTATTTGAAATTAAAAACACAATATCATTTACATTAGCACTCCCCAAAATAAAATACTTAGGTATAAATCTAACAAAATATGCACACAATTCATATGAGGAAAGCACCAAAACTCTGATAAAAGACCATCAAAAAAGAACTAAATAAATAGATATTCTATATTCTTGGACAGGAAGGCTCAATACTGCCAAGATGTCAGTTCTCAACTTGATCTATAGATTCAATGTGATCCCAATCAAAATCTTTTTGTGGATACTGACAAACAGATTCTAAAGTTTAAATGGATAGGCAAAAGATCCAGAATAGCCAATACAATACTGAAGAAGAACAAAGTTGAAGGGGTTACACTACATAGCTATGGAATCAGGAAAAAGATCAGTGGTCACCAGTGGTTTAGAGTTGGGGGGAAGCGGGAAGGAATAGGTGGGGCACAGGGGATTTTTAGGGCAGTGAAACTACTCTGTATGATACTATAATACTATTATGGTGGATACATGTCATTATAAATTTGTCCAAACCCACAGAATGTATAACACCAAGAATGAACCCTAGTGTAAACTATGGACTTTGGACGATAATATGTCAATTTGGCTGAGCAACTTTAACAAATGTTATCACTCTGGTGGGGAATGTTGATAATGGAGGAGGCAATGAATGTGTGGGGCAGGGACTATATGGGGAATTTTTCTACTTCTGCTCAATATTGCAGTGAACCAAAACTGTTTTAAAAATTAATGTCTATTAAAAAAGTTGACGGTCATCTTTGTATAAGAATTTTAGGCACTTAACGCTTCTGATAAAGTCATTAAGAACATAGCCCATTAGCTCTAATGTTTGCACCAGTGTATGTTCATTCTTTTGGAAAATACTAACTAGAAAGTAGAGGAAGAAATGAGATATCAATACTCTTTTCTAAAGGCCTACCATTCCAATTATCTAAAATCAATAGAGAATAGCCAGCTTCTTCATATTTAAATTAGCTGTATCTTCAAAAGTTCAAGTGTTAAAAAAAGGCTTTCAAAGTATTTTTATGAAGCTAGAATAACACTGATATTGAAATTTGGCAAGGGCAACAGAAAAAACTACAGACCAATCTCACTTTGAATATCACTTGGATAAAATGCTGGCAAACGGAATCCCACAGTATATTAAAAGAATAATATACCATGACGAAGGGAGGCTTATTCTAGGAATACTGAGAGTTCAGTATTAGAAAATATTGTTATTATTCAGAAGAGAAAAGCTCATATTTTCATTGTTGCTGAAATTATGGAAATCTTTAAACAGAGATAAAAGTAGGAATAAGGAATCTCCATCACCCAGCTTCAATAATTATTGATATTTTGCCAGTCTTGTTTCATGTATTGCCCAACTTAAATTTCCCTGATTTTTGCAGAAATGTCTTACTCCAATCAGGATCCAAACAAGATCTACAGAGTATTTCACTTGGTTGGCATCTATCTTCAGTCTCTTAACCTGTAACAGTTCTTCTTTCTTTTCCCGACCCCCTCATGCCATGTATATGTTGAAGAAACCAAGTCATCTGCCTTGGGGAAGTTCTCACATTACGGACTGCACTCATGACTTTCTGTTGATATAGTATCATGTTCCTGTATGCCTCATATTTCTTGTAAAGCGGTAGTGAGATCTAGAGAAGGGTTTTTCAGCCTCAGCACTCTTGACATTTTGCGTTAGATAATTCTTTATTGTGGGGGCTGTTCTGTCATTGTAGGATGTTTAGTGGCATCATCGGCCCCTACCCACTAGGTCCTGCTAGCATCCTCTCTCCCCATTGTGGCAACCATTAATATCTCCAGATACTGCCAAATATCCTTTAGGGAGCAAAATTGCCCCCGGGTGAGAATTACTAATGCAGAGGTTTCATTAGATTTGAGGTCAATTTTTTTCCATTTCTATTTTTTCTTTTTTTGCAAATATACTGCATGGGTACAGCTGTGTATTTCCTACCACCACATTTTAGGAGGCACTTAGATCAGGCTGACAACACCTAAACCCAATATACATTCTTAATAAAATTTCTCAACAAACTAGGGTAAGTGGATAATTCTTCAACATGATGAAATATATCTATCTCAACCCCAAAACTAGTATAAAGCTTCATGAGGAAGGACCAGAAACATTTCCATTAAGCCCAAGAAGAAAATAAGGATGCTCACCATCCCCACTATTTTAGTGTTCTGGAGGTACTAGCCAGTACAATTAGATAAGAGAAAGAAATACAAGGTGTAAATATTATAAAGGAAAGGTTGAGAAAATTATTTGCAGATCATATAATTATATACCTGGACAATCCAACAGGAATTAAAAATTGTTACAAGCAATAAGATAATTCAGTAAGGGCGTAAAGCTAACATTCTGTGTAGATCAACAGCTTTCCTATATAAAAACAACAATATTGAAAGCTGGGAGAGGAAGGAAAAAACCTGAGTTATAAAAGCAAACGTAAAAATAAAATACATAGGAATAAGCTTAACAAGTGTGTGTGCGCGTGTCTGTAGAGGCAGTCCTGGCTTTGCATGGTTCTGATGTGCACGGATTTTTGTTACTATGTCTTAGTTAAATGTCACCAGTCCCCCAACAACATTGTTCAAATTTCAGTTACCAAGCCATGTTAACTGTGTGTAATTGCAGAGTACAAATGTCACTGGTAGTTCTTCAGTCGACTGTGTTAACACAGGTGCTTCATGATCAGCAACCAATCACGTCACTTCTTTCAAAGTCTGTCAGTGATTGGTTCCTCAACTTCTAATCAGTTCACTCACAGACAGCAAAAGTGTGTACTTATGTTGCCTCTTTCTCTCCCAGTGAGAAACCCACAAGACATTTTACAAAAATGGATAATCCAAAAGAGGGAAGTGGCCAACAAAATGCAAGTGCAGCAAAAAACCAAAAAGTAATAGTAATGGAAGTGAAATGAGACTCAAATGTAAAGGGAGTTACAGAACAAAGAGCTGACCACAGGAATGCTGACAGTGCCGCCACTGAAGAAACTGGATATGCAGCCAGAGGATCTACATGAAGGTGAACTTAATGACATAAATGAGGAAAGTAGTTCCCGGAGGAAGTTATGCTGGTAAAAAATTTCATATTACAGAAACTCTTGGAGGTATTTCATAATACTGAAGGAGCAAAGCATAAAATATTGAAAGCTGATCCATACTCAGGAGTATGATGATTGGCCAAGACATAGAAAAGATGCTGCCTCCATACTGTAAGGTATACAATGAGAAGCAACCAATATGCAAACTACTCTTGATAAATTTCTTACAAAGAAATAAAATACTTTAATTCTCAATGTTTCTAAATTTTAAATTACAGTGTACTAAATTAATATTACTTTATTTTTCATTTCCCTATACATTTATAACTAATGGTAAGAGAGTTTTTCATATTTTAAGAAGAAAATTTAAGATCATCCAAACAGAAGATCAATAAGGAAACAGTGACTTTAAATGACACATCAGACCAGATGGACTTAATAAATATATACAGAACCTTCCATCCCCAAACGGCAGAATATACATTCTTTTCAAATGCACACAGAACATTCTCCAGGAGAGATCACATATTAGGCCGCAAAACAAGTCTCAATAAATTTAAGAAGACTGAAATAGTATCAAGCATCTTTTCTGACCACAACAATATGAAACTAGACATCAACTACAAGAAGAAAACTGGAAAAGTCACAAATATGTGGAGATTAAACAAAATGCTACTGAACAAATATTGGGCCAATGAAGAAATCAAAGGAGAAAT